CCTCTCTCTCTCTCTTCTCTCTCCTCTCTCTCTCTCCCCCTCTCTCTTTCGAGTCTTGCTACTAAATCGCGGATATTTCCTCGTTGCTCGACGCTTTAACCGCCTCGAACATCGAAGATCTAGTCCGTGGTTATTATTTAGACTCGGACCCAAGCTTCCTTTCGAACGTCTCGATATACGTACGTAGATCGAGCGCGTGCGTTCGGCTCGATGATCGGCTGAATTACGTTACATCACGTTGCGTGTACCGATAGGTGTACAAAAACAACGAGCTGTTCTACTACATCGACGGTTATGACGTCCAGAAATCAAATTGGATGCGTTACGTAAACCCGGCTTATTCGTCCGAATCGCAGAACCTGATAGCATGCCAGTACAAGGTGAGTCGAATTCGAGGGAGCTCGATCCCTCCTCCCCGTATTTCGATTTTCATCCAACCCTCTTTCTTCTTTCTTTTCTTTTCTTTTCTTTTTTTTTTCTTCGCAGATGAACATTTATTTTTACACGATCAAGCCGATACTACCGAATCAAGAGCTTCTGGTGTGGTATTGCAGGGAGTTCGCGGAAAGGCTCAATTACCCGTTGACGGGCGAACTGATGCTTCAAAGAATACGTAAGAATTACGCTGCTCTTCTGTGTCTCTTAGATTTAGCGAGAGAGAGCGAGAGAGAGAGAGAGAGAGAGAGAGAGCGAGAGAGAAGGATGGAAACGTCGACGTGAATATTCGTTATCGTTGTATCGTTGTACTGTTGCAGGACAACAAGTGCAACAATCCGCGTTACCGACGGAGATCCCAGCTACCGTGGACGCGGTGTCGCCCCTGAAAGACTCGTCGATCTACGAGAGACGGTCGCAAATGACCCCGACGGACGGCTCCGTTAGATCGGACGAGGGCTACCATTCGAACGGTTATCACGACGAGATCCTCACGCCCCCGGAGGAGAGCAGCGAGTCGGACTCGGAGAACAATTACGTGCTCGATTTCAGCAAGAACGCGAAAACGTCGGTGTGCAGCAACGAGGTGGTGAAGCAGGACAATGCGGCGGCCAAGAACGAGTACAGGAAGGTTAAGATCAAGATCACCAAGACGTACGGCAACTTTCAAACGTCGAAGAGCCTGGATGGAAAAGACAAGGATCAGGAATTGCCTAGCAGGGCGGTGACCCCGGAACTGCAGAAACCGGTGTCGCCCATAATTCTTCAGAAGAGCGTTGTCCTGACCACGGTCGCCGAGGACGAGGTGGCGGAGAAAAACCCGAAACCCTTCTACGAGTCCGAGGTGAAGGGCGCGTTGCCCGTGACGGCCGGTAACGGGAGGCCGTCGGGGTACCTCGCCAGCCCGAGCAGCTCCATCCTCGAGAACATCCTTCTTCGCACCGCCACCGACAACAACAACAACACCAACAACGCCAACAACGGCCACCACCACCACCACCACCACCACCACCACCACCATCATCATAATCATCACAACAACGGCCAACAGCAGCATCACCAACAACAGTCCATCCACCATCACCAAACGCACGTGGACTCGGTCACGCCGCCTCCCTCGAGCCCCACCGAGATGGCGTACTCTTACAAAAAGTCGCATCGCTACGGCAACATTTTACCTTGCAGCCCGGACTCGAGCTCGAATCTCCCTATGCAACCGGACACCTGCAACGTCAATTCGACGAGCGGGAACAACAGCGCCCTTCCTATGCAAAGCCCGACGCAAAGCGCGAATTTGCACTCGAGCACGGGAGGAGGGGCGGCCAACAACAACAACAACAACAACCTTCTGCAATCCCATCCGGGGAATATACATTCGTCGAGCAACAATTCGGGCGGCAATCATCACTCGGGCGCGAGCGTCGTCCTATCGTCCAGCGCGATGCTCACGTCCACGAGTAATCTTCACCCCTCGACGACCACCCCGACCAACCACCAAGGCTGCCAACCGCCATCCAAGAGAAAGACGAAGAGCCCCTCGCCGAATCCAGCGGGGGGCGCGTCCACCACCATCCTTTACTCGAGCGGCTCGGGCGGATGCCAAATAGACTCGAGCCCCGTGTATCCCAACTCGGCCGCGAACGGGAATCAGAGCGTGTCCCCGATCTCGCCCATCCAATCCCCCTCCTCCTACCCCTACGGTATTTACCATCAGAACGGGTCGTTGCATCACAACGTGGCCCCCCTGTCCATCAATTGCACCGCCTACTCGCCGACCCCGAGCGGGAACGTGGTGTACGAGAGGACGGACGGGAGGAGGCTGGAGGCTGCGACGAGCAGCCATCAGTTGCCGACCTCGTCCACGATGCAGATGGACGGTAATCAGACGTTGATCGCTGGCACGCACAATCTACACCTAGGCCATCACCCTGGCCTCACCATCCACGCCAACTCGTCCTCGTCCCTCAACCGATACTCGCCCGCGAGCTCTTTGTCCCCGGACGATCACGGTTGCTCGCAGAGCGGCTCCCTCAGCCCCAACTCGCAAGGGTCGAGGGGTTACAGG